GAGGAGGGGAGGGGGGGGTGTTCAAGCACAATGCAGTCCGGGTCATGCAGCATACCGCCGCGCCCTTGGAGGCGAGCAGCGAGGAGACACACAAGCCCGCCGCGGTGAAATCCCAAACCGTTTACGACCGAAACACCCTTGGCCAACGCCCCGCCCTCGAGCCCGCCCTGCACCCGGTGGTGGTGGTCCGCACCGTGGTGCCCGCGGTGCAGCGGAACCAGACAAACTGCCTGCTTGTCTCTGGCTGCGCTGCACCACCGCCGTACCTCTGATAAAACTAGCTCGCGCTCCGATCGCAATGGATTTTGAACAAAAGAAATGGAATGGCGCGCGCAAAAGGCGAGAGAGGCGAGAGTCTGGCGACCGGGCGGCCGCGCCGCCTATAGCCTCGGCGGCGCCAAGGCGGCGCACGGGGAGCGCGCGCCTGGCAAAATGGAACCGTTTATTCCACCCAATGACGAACGAGAGGAGAAATACGGCGCCGACGACGACGACGCCTTGGGTCGCGCGCAGAAGGCGATGACTGGCAGGGCGAACTTATTAATCGCTTTTCCTCGGCCAGCTCGAAAAACACTCTGATTAAAACGCTCTTGGCGGGCCCCCGGTCAAGTGCACACGACGGGATGTGATCCAGGACGGTGGGTCGGTGGAGTGCCTCAGCGCCGAGGACGCATCATCAAACACCTGTGCGGGCATCCGATAGGTCGCGGGCGCGAGGCGATCGCCGATAAGAGAGTGGGCCACCCGCGCGCGCGGCGACGGGGACAGGGTGCCCGCGCGCATCTGAAGCTGCTGCTGCTGCTGCTTGTAGTTCAACGTGGCCACGGACGGCCAGGTTTGCCAGGTTGGCCAGGTCACTCAGATGACAGAGAGAGTGGGAGAGAGAAAGAAAGGGAGAGAGGGAGAAACAAAGAGAGGCAGACAGACAGACAGACAGACAGACAGACAGACAGGGAGCGACAGAGGGGGGGGGGCGGGCCCTTGCGCCCGGTTTCGTAACGCCACGGGGAAAGAAGTAGCGGTCCAGCTCGGGTAATGGCTCAGAGAGGCTGCGGAGGGCCTCCTCCGCCGCGCAGCCCGACCTAGGCCAGGCCCACACGGTCACGGCCGCCGTTCTAGACGCCCGCGGGTCGAGCTCTCGACAGGACTGTCCTCAGGACGGCCGTTTCTTTTAACACCTTCAGCAGGGCGGCTCATTTTTTTGGTGCGTTTTATTTAACATGGGAGCGCGACCACTATGTGGTCAGGGTCAGGCCGCGCTGAACGTAAAGGGGGGGGGGGGGTTACAGATGTTCTGGTGTCAGGACCGCTATCGTTGAACCCCGTGGTACAATTGGTACGGGGCTGTTATCCTGTTGGGACCCCATAATAATA